CCCCCCCCCCGGCCCCCAAACCAGCCCCTGCCTCCCTGTGCTCACTGGGGTAGGGGAGCCGTCCGGCGCTGCCATTCAAAATGATGTTTTCAAGATGGTGGCGGCTGGTGGGAGCCTGATGTGGCCAATGCCGGGTTGGTCCAGTAGCACTGAGGGGCAGTGCTGCGGGACCAACCCAGCAGCACCCCAGCTGCTCTGCCCCAGGCGTGTCCGATTCAGCCGCTGCTGAATCTGGACGCCAGTTCTGACTTACATACAAATTCAACTTAAGAACAAACCTACAGTCCCTATCTTGTACGTAACCTGGGGACTGCCTCAATGGTCAGCTGCTGGACCATCGGAGTTTTACTGTATCTGGACAGTATTTAGAAATGCATCTGCTATCTTTTTATTGTGGTGCCCATTGTTACTCAGACAATATCATTAGAGAATATTTTCAATTATTTGACTCTAACATGAAGTAACTTCTGTATTCTGGATTTCCTTAGTCTGGCAATATCTCTGGCCCAGCATCAGAGGTGACCCCATGGATGACCATCGGAGTTTTACTGTATCTGGACAGTATTTAGAAATGCATCTGCTATCTTTTTATTGTGGTGCCCATTGTTACTCAGACAATATCATTAGAGAATATTTTCAATTATTTGACTCTAACATGAAGTAACTTCTGTATTCTGGATTTCCTTAGTCTGGCAATATCTCTGGCCCAGCATCAGAGGTGACCCCATGGATGTCTGGGGCTGGAGCACTTATGAGGAAAAATGAGTAGTCTAGTGTCAGGAGCATTGCTGGACTAGGGAGAGTGGAGCCCTGTGGGGCGAGAGAAGTGTGGGAGGCCCTGTATTGGGTGGGGAGCCTCGGAAACTTGGTGGGCCAGTAGCCGGAAGAGGCATGCCCAGAGAGTAGAGCCCTGGAACCTCAGCGGCTGGGACCACAGGGGTTGGCATTGATCTCCCCAGCAAATTCCCTGATTTGGGAACAGTCAGGTCCTGAAGGTACCAGACCAGGGAAATTCAACTTCTGGTACACTAATTTCTTCTGGCATATTTCTGTGTTTTTGATGTAAAACTTTGTACACACGTAATGCATATCTGGAAATAATGTAGTAAAAGTTGATAGTTCTTTTGTAATTTCTTTTATCAACAATGTAAGTGTACTGTACACGTAAATATTGTTCTATTTTATTTGCTTGATTCATTTGCAATTTAGCCTGATTCACACCTGCAACAAGTTCTGGAACCAGCTGTAAGAGATCAAAAAAGTGCAGAGATTCATAAAAGAACTCCTGAATCTGAGGTTAAGTCAAAACCACTTACTATAACAGATTCTCCTATAATGAAGACTGAGAGTTCAAAGAATCCTGTGCCTTTGCCAGCAGAATTAAAAGTGCCAAATGTCATCTCAGGTATGAAAATCACTGCAGTGAACTGTGAATTATTCTGTTTTTTAAATAAGAGCAGCTCTAGCAGGCCTGTGCTGTCAAATTTAGCTTTAGAAAATATGGTAAACTCCATAGAATGCAATATGTGATATCAAGAGCCCAAAGAGATGGTAGGGGGTTCCAAATTGTGACCCACAGCTCAATAAAGAATACGTGTTGTGGACCACCTCTCTTCCCATTTTCAATCATATGGATGCTACTTTATATCACTTGCACATCTCTTCTATGGAAACAGTAGCATTTGCTTTTGTAAAACGATAATACTGCTTAAAGGTGGCATCTGTTTCCTCATATATAGCATCTGCTTAACTGTGAAGGCAACTAATATGTCGTCTTGTTTCCAGTTCCTTTTACAAATACCCTGGCTATCTTGTAGTGAAATGTCTAGGTATCTGTAAAAGCACCTGGAAACGAGGAGATCCAGCACCAGGTGATCAGCCAGTGGTCCAGGGGTCACAGGTTTGAGAGATACTATTATAAGGCATTGAAAAACTTACATATAAGAACATAAGAACGGCCGTACTGGGTCAGACCAAAGGTCCATCTAGCCCAGTAACCTGTCTGCCGACAGTGCCCAGCACCAGGTGCTCCAGAAAGGGTGGACCGAAGACATTAATCAAACGATTTGTCTTGTGCCATCCATCTGCAGCCTCTGACAAACAGAGGCCAGGGACACCATTTCTATCCCCTGGCTAATAGCCTTTTATGGACCTAACCTCCATGAAATGATCTAGCTTCTCTTTAAACTCTGTTATAGTCCTAGCCTTCATAGCCTCCTCTGGCAAGGAGTTCCACAGGTTGACTAAACGCTATGTGAAGAAGAACTTTCTTTTATTAGTTTTAAACCTGCTACCCATTAATTTCATTTGGTGTCCTCTAGTTCTTCTATTATGGGAACTAATAAATAACTTTTCTTTATCAGCCCTCTCCACACCACTCATAATTTTATATACCTCTATCATATCCCTCATCAGTCTCCTCTTTTCTAAACTGAAAAGCGCCAGTCGCTTTAACCTCTCCCGTTCCAAACCCCTAATCATTTTAGTTGTCCTTCTCTGAACCCTTTCCAAGGCCAGAATATCTTTTTTGAGGTGAGGAGACCACATCTGTACACAGTATTCAAGATGTGGGCGTACCGTAGTTTTATACAGGAGCAGTAAGATATTCTGTGTCTTATTTTCTATCCCTTTCTTAATAACCCTAGCATCCTATTTGCTTTTTTGACCGCCGCTGCACACTGTGTGGAAGTTTTCAGAGAACTATCAACGATAATGCCAAGATCTCTTCCTGATTTGTCATAGCCAAATTAGCCCCCATCAAACTGTACATATAGTTGGGCTTATTTTTCCCGATGTACATTACTTTACACTTATCCACATAAGTCCCTCACAGTCTGCTTCTGTCTTGACTATCCTAAACAGTTTGGTATCATCCGCAAATTTTACCCCTCTTTTCTAAACTGAAAAGTCCCAGTCGCTTTAACCTCTCCCCATATAGGACCTCTTCCAAACCCCTTTTCTGAACCCTTTCCAAGGCCAAAATATCTTTTGTGAGGTGAGGAGACCACATCTGTACACAGTATTCAAGATGTGGGCGTACCATAGTTTTATACAGTGGCTGTAAGATATTCTGTGTCTTATTTTCTTTTCCTTTCTTAATTATTCCTAGCATCCTATTTGCCTTTTTGACTGCCGCTGCACACTGTGTGGAAGTTTCCAGAGAACTATCCACGATAACTCCAAGATCTCCTCTAATGACACTTCAATCCGGGACAGTTCCTCAGATTCATCAGCCACAAAGGATGGTGCAGATTTGGGAATCTTCCCAACGTCCTCAGCCATGAAGATTGAAGCAAAGAAATCATTTAGTTTCTCCGCAATGGCTTTATCGTCCTTGATTGATCCTTTTATATCTCGATCGTCTAGGGGAACCACAGTTTTTTTAGCAGGCTTCCTGCTTCTAATGTACTTAAAAAACATTTTATGTCTTTTAGAGTTTTTGGCTAGCTGTTCCTCAAAATTTTTTTTTTATTTTCTTATTACATTTTTACACTTGAGTTGACAGTGTTTATGTTCCTTTCTATTTATTGCACTAGGATTGGACTTCCACTTCTTAAAAGATGCCTTTTTGTCCCTCACTGCTTCTTTTACATGGTAGTTAAGCCATAGTGACTCTTTTTTAGGTCTCTTGCTATGTTTTTTAATTTGGGGTATACATTTAAGTTGGGCCTCTATTATGGTGTCTTTAAAAAGTTTCCATGCAGCTTGCAGGGATTTGGCTCTAGTCATTGTGCCTTTTAATTTCTGTTTAACTAACCTCCTCATTTTTGCCTAATTCCCCTTTTTGAAATTAAATGCCAGAGTGCTGGACTGCTGAGGTGTTCATCCCACCACAGAAATGCTAAATGTTATTATATTATGGTCACTGTTCCCAGCCGGTCCTGCAATGGTTATCTCTTGGATCTGATCCTGCGCTCCACTCAGGACTAAATTGAGAATTGCCTCTCCCCTTGTGGGTTCCTGAGAAATTTTCTCTCTGCTTCTCTTCCCAAGGTGACATGTATCCAGTCAATATGGGGGTAATTAAAATCCCCCATTATTATAAAGTTCTTTATTTTGGTAGCCTCTCTAATCTCCCTCAGCATTTCAATGTCAGTATCCCTGTCCTGGTCAGGTAGTCGGTAATATATCCCTACTACTAATTTCTTCTTATTGGAGCATGGAATTACTATCCATAGTGATTCTATTGAACATGTTGATTGATTTAATATTTTTATTTCATTTGATTCTACATTATCTTTCACATACAGTGCCACTCTGCCACCCACACGGTCTGCTCTATCCTTTCGATATATTTTATATCCTAGTATGATTGTGTCCCACAGATTTTCCTCATTCCACCAGGTTTCAGTGATGTCTATTATGTCAATCTCCTCCTTTATTACGAGGTACTCTAGTTCACCCATCTTATTAGTCAGACTCCTAGCATTTGTGTAGAAGCACTTTAGAAATTTGCCACTACTTATTTGTCTGCCCTTCCCTGATGCATTGGATTCCTTTATATGCGTTTGTTTGTCTGCTCTGGCCCATGGTTTGTCCTCTCCCCACCTCTCTTTCTGACTACAGCTTAGAGAATCTCTATCAATGGATTCTGCTCTTAAGAGAAGTCTCCATCCGATTTACGTGCATCTCCACACCAATCGGCTTTCCCCCATCTCTTAGTTTAAAAACTGCTCTATGGCCTTTTTAATGTTTAGTGCCAGCAGTCTGGTTCCACCCTGGTTTAGGTGGAGCCCTTCCTTCCTGTATAGGCTCCCCCTCTCCCAAAAGTTTCCCCAGTTCCTAATAAATCCAAACCCCTCTTCCCTACATCATCGTCTGATCCACGCATTGAGACTCTGAAGTTCTGCCTGCCTGCCTGCCTGCCTGGTCCTGCACGTGGAACTGGAGGCATTTCTGAGAATGCAACCATAGAGGTCCTGGATTTCAGTCTCTTTCGTAGCAACCGAAATTTGGCCTCCAGGACATCTCTTCTACCCTTCCCTATGTCATTGGTACCTACATGTACCACGACCACCGGCTCCTCCCCAGCACTACACATAAGTCTATCTAGATGCCTCGAGAAATCCACAACCTTCGCACCAGGCAGGCAAGTGACCATACGGTTCTCCCGGTCATCACAAACCCAACTATCTATGTTCCTAACGATTGAATCGCCCACTACTAACACCTGCCTCTTCCTAACAGCTGGCCTTCCCTCCCCCTCAGGGGTATCCTCAGCGCGAGAGAATTCCGCAACATTATCTGGAAGGAGGGTCCCAACTGCGGAATGGTTTCCCTCTGTTCCTATTGAACGCTCTGTTCCCTTGAGACTTTCATCCTCTTTAAGAGCACTGGGGCTCTCAGACTGGAGGTGGGACAGTACTACAGTGTCCCGGAAAGTCTCATCAACATATCTCTCTACCTCCCGTAGCTCTGCCAGTTCAGCCACCCTGGCCTCCAAAGCCCGAACTCGGTCTCTGAGGGCCAAGAGCTCCTTGCAACGGGTGCACACATACACCACCCGCCCACAGAGCAGGTAATCATACATGTTACACTTGACACAATAAACAGGATAGCCCCCACTCTGCTGCTGGGCTTCTGTCTCCATTTTTTTATGAATGTTTAAGTATAAACTGAGCTTATTAAATGTCTGGAATATAGATTATTATAAAAGTTAGGTTTAAAGAAGTTCAAGAGTCCTGGCACCCTCTATCCTCCCCCTCTAAACTCCCTCTCCAAACTCCCTGTTAGCAACCAGGAGCACGTTGACTACTTATGGCTGAATTACTGTCAGGCCCAAGAGCAGCAGCCTTTCTTATTAATACGTGGTAACACCTACGGAAGCTAGAGAAGGATCAGGGCCCCACTGTGCTAGACACTGCACACACACACACACACACACACACACACACACACTAACACAATTTACATTTTCACCAATTCTTAACTGTGTTGGACTTTATTCATCTTTAGTGATAAATAAGGGATCCATTGCATGGCATACTAATAAAGAAAAATCTTTGAATGTGCTCATAATTAACAGTTATAACCATATAGCGAAACTTAAGTGAAATTATCATGTCTTTCTGTCAGTAACAATCATTTCCCTAGTAATCAAGTAAAGTAGTCTTGGCCTTATCTAGTTCTTCCACTATTTTTTGTCACCTTTACGCATGCATATCTGATTTTATAAAATCAAACACATCATGTTAGGGGCTTGTTATTAAGGTGTATTTTTATTGTTTGTTTTTATCCTCATGGGTACTTTGCTATTATTTTGGGTACATCTACACTGTGCAGCTATTTTGAGATACCAGTGGTATCCCGAAATAGCTATCCTGAGTCTTAACAAGCCACCCATTATTTCAAAATGTTTTTTGAAATAACGGGTGCGCTATTTTGTCATCCCATAATAATGCAAAATAGTCTCAAAATAGTGCATTATTTTGAAATTTGGCACTGTGTAGATGCACAAAATTTCAAAATATGCTATTTTGAAATAGAATCAAAATAAGATACACAATTTGTGTAGCTCAAACTGTGTATCTTATTTCGAGCTTAAGGTGTAGTGTAGACTCACCCTTCCTGTATCTGAAGAAGCCTGGTCTGTGACTTTGTGCTTCAGCCTTTCACACTACAAGTTCTGCTTTGCAGAACTCGGCAGGGCCTACTTTTCCTTTAGGGTACAGCTACACAGCAACATTATTTTGAAATAACTAGCATTATTTCAAAATAACGTAGTCCACATCTACACAGCAGGCACTTATTTAGAAATATTGCCAAAATATTGTCAAGCTGGAGGACTTCTTACTCCAACTCCTGTAACTCTCATTGTACTCCTTCGAAATTAGTGCTGTATAGACACTCCCAATTTTGAAATAAGCTACGCAATTGATGGAGCTTAGTTTGCCTTGCCTATTTTGAGTTAAGCCCTGCTGTGTAGAGATACGCTTACAGATTAACAATAGGCACCCTATAGCCTCTGAGTCCTCTGAGCTTCTCCATGAATTGCCCATCCCATGATGCAATGAACAGAATTCCCAGATCCTCTGCTCCCAAAGGAAAAGTAAACCCCAGCTTACTAGTTAAACTGTATCACAGCTCCACTTAACACACAGTACTTATATATATTTATGGTAAAGCAAGATGTTTATTTAACAAAAGCAAAGATTCAAGTGATAGCAAGTAGAAATATTGGGAACAAATGGTTACAAATAAAACAAAATCCTAACATGCATTATAGACCAGTGTTTCTCAACTTTTTTTTTTATAAAGTACCCCTTTTAAAAAAAAATTATAAGTACCCCCAGTACCTACAATTTTCAGACAATTTTTTTTCTACCATTGCAACAAATTTGTTTAAACATCTTAATCATAGCCGGGTGGGCGATGAAATTTTGGCAGTAAAAAGTACAAAAATAATAAAGCTCTTTAAAACTTAAAATAAAAATTCAGTTTTTTCCATGCCCCCCAGACTTCTCTTGAGTACACCTAAGGGTACTCGTACCACTGGTTCAGAAACACTGTTCTAGAACATATATTTAATTAACAAAACACCTCCTTGACAATTAATATTTAGCTCACCCCAATATCTTTGCAGCATTTTTCAGACAGATTTGGTTTTGATCTTTTTTCATGGTAAAAAAACATTGTAAGCCTCAGGGAAGCATAATAGGGTGTACCTCTGCACCCCAAGTCATGTCCAGTGATCTGTTGTCTTCATTTGTAAACAGGCCAGTCCTTGCTGCTTGTTTTTGCTTGACTAGAATCTCCTATAGAGACTTTTCAGCCTTTGATCAGATTGTAAATAGGCTTTTGTTGTGAAGTATACAATACTCGATCCTATAAAGCCAGACAAGTAAATAGACATCTCTGCCTTAATTATCTGCCTTAATTATGAAACTTAATTATCATCTTTGGTGATAATCAACTCGCAGACCCCAGAGCATAGCTTTCAGTTGTGTGTATATATGCATAATTCCTTACAGGTTATCTGTATATTCCACAATGATGACAGTGGTCAATATGACACAAGCTTTGAGTAGAAACTTTACATTGACTTGCTTTGATAAATTATATAGAGATTGGAACTAGGAGATTCCTGTAATTCTGTGCAACCTGTGTCAGTTGGCACCAGGAGATCCCTTGTTAATAACCCATTTGTATACCTTTTAACTAGGGATGTTAAATTTTGATTAATTGACTAATCGATAGGGTGCCTCCACCTTTGAAGTGTAGAAACAGCCCCAGGAGCATGGGACTGTTGGGGAGTCCTCAGCTAATCCTGAGCTTCATGTGGCGCTGCCACTTTGAAACACCTCCTCCTCTCCCTCCCCCTCCCTCTTTCTGATAGAGACATCAAGGGGGGGAAATGACTAGTTGACTACTGTGTTGACTATCCGATAAGTATTTGTTTATTGGATAGTCGACTACTCGACTAGTCATTCACATCCCTACTTTTAACATATTAATTCTTTTTTAATCTCCTTTCTCCCTTATTTTTCCTTTTTTAGTTTATGGCAGTGTTTCCCGGGGTTCCGCGAAGCGAAAGTAAGGGTTCCGCAAGAACTCCATCACTCTCTTCCCCTCTCCTTCCAAACAGACAGAGGAGCAGGCGCTCTGGTTTCCCGCCAGTTTTTCAGACACCTCCTTTCCCCTGCTGCCACTCTGCATTTCCAAAGCCCACAAGTCTTTTTTTTTTTCTTTTTTTGATTGACAAATTTTCCAACTGGCTGTAGGGGTTCCTTGAAATTCTTCCGAGTTTAAAAGGGTTCTGTGGCCAAATAAAATTGGGAAACACTGGTTTATGGAATTATTGGATCTCTTTATATATAACTTGTTCAGTCTCCTCAGTCCCAACTTTTCCTTTCATGTTAAACATCTATACATATAGAAGTTTAAAGGTAAAATTAAGTTTTTCCTATTTGTCACTACATTTCCAGATGGAAGCCATTATGTCCCTTCAGGAGCTAACATACATCCTTTTGGCTCCAACGGGCAAGATGGATTTTACTTCCTATATACTCTACACCAGTGATCTACAACCTTTTTGCACCCAAGACCAGTATCCCAAGATCTACCCCCATATTGATCACTTATCTCTAAATATCTTAAATACTAAATTATTCATATTGCACTACTGGAGCTATAGCATAAGAGGGTGTATATAACCATTAAGAAAGGAAATATTATTAATCAAAATAATTAACTAGATTAAACAATTTAACTTTATCACGTTAGTTTGCCAAACTTCATTTTAAATAAAGTAAAATATTAATGCATGTCCAGAACAAAAGGTTTCAACATTGTTTTTCATTTAGCAGGGATGAGGAACCTTTTTTGGGTTGGGGCCATTGACCCACAGAAAAATCAGTTGGGGACCACACAAGTGAGAAGCAAAAACACTCCTCCTCAAACCCCCAACCCTCATTGATGTGGCCCCCAACTGAGACACCTCACACTTCTAGCACTCCAACTACACGGGGTGAGGGGAAGAGACAGGGAGGACTGAGATTCAGAGCTTCCCAAAGGCTATATTTAATTTCCGGGTGTTCCAGAGTTAGTGGATTTTGTGGACCCCCTTAGGCTCTGAAGAGGGTACAAAAATGTGGGGCTCAATGTGTGGGACAGGGCTGCCAGCAAGTGATATGGGGTTCAGGATGTGAGTGGGAGGTGGGGTGCAGGGTCTGGAAGGGAGTTTAGTGGCTGGAGAAGGTGTGGGGTGCGGGTACAAGAGGGAGTTTGGGGGAGGGAGGGGATTGGGGCAGTAACGCAGAAAAGCTAAGAGTGTGAAAATGCAGCCAAATACCTAGTTGGGAAAGGAGGCAAAGAAGTGGGGAATAAGAGGAAGTGCAGCTTCTGCAAAGTAAAATTGTATGCCCCTCAAATGTTCCCACCAATGTCATTTATGTTTAATGTATAACTGTAGTGTATATAATTTTATTGAAATGCACTTTATTATGAATTAATTTCCACACTACCAATATGTATAACTTCTGAAGTGTTTGGGGTTTTTGTTTTTTTTTTATTTGCACCATTATCATTTTATTTCATTTTAATATCTTTAACAGATGTAGTGAAGACAACAAAATTTAAGTTTGATCCCAAACTTATGGACCATGGCCAATCGAACCCAGCAGATGTGGATATGTACAGTACCAGAAGCTAAAGCACCAATTTACAAATATTGGGAAGTACTAACAATAGCAAAGAAAAACTGAAGGATTATGCAATGTATGATTATACCAACTGTGGTATAATTTAATCAGGTATTTTCTTAAATCCTAATATGTACACTCAATCTACTTTATCCTTGTTTATTACCTACATATAAACAATTAAATATTTTATTTTCCTTCAACAGTAATTAACTGTTTGACCAGGAACATTATATTTCTCTCTGTGTGCTGCAATGAGGTATATCATGATTGTCACTGTCAAATTATTAATAAACATATATCACCTATATGAGAGACTGTTTGAAAGCGTAAATGTATTTCTGTCCTTCAGCCCTTTAGTTTTCAAAGACAGTAAAATAAAAATCTGGTCGTCTTTTGGTGATGGTGGTTCCCTTTCTCACTCACTTTCATTTCTGAAATATTATGGGCAAAGGAAAGCATTTTTCGTGTATACTGGCTTAAATATCTTATTACTCTGAGCACTCATAAAATAAAAGAAACCAACTGTGATTTTAGTACTCTCTCAGTTTCACATTTGTATAAACTAATTCCTTTTGCAAAAATCACTACTGTTTTAATCTCTTTTACAGTGAGAATAGTAAATAAATTTTGGCCTGTATGTGAGTAGATTCCTGATTTAAAAATATTTAAATTGAAAAGAAAAATTGGAGCTAGTCTTCAAAGCGCCCCTGCTAGACCACATGTTAGTTTTCTGTCAACCTTTAAAAACATGGACTGATGTTTGCTGAGTTGATTTGCAGCTCCATCTACTCTAATCCAAGTTATTGGTACTGTTTGTGGTAATGGAGAAAATATTAACAAATTATGGCAGGAAAGTTAAGCATTTTATTGACACAGAGGTTAAAACAGGCAGTTATGCTGTTGGCTAAAAGTTCTCTTATGGCTTAATTTAAAAAAAATAAAAAGTTGTGGAGGTTATTAGGCATAAAACCAAAGTTCATAGTCTGTCTTGAACAGGGGTGGGCAATAATTTTTGATGAGGGGCCACTTCAAGAATTTGATAAGTAGTCAAGGGCTGCACTCTTCCATAATATTAACAGAGGATGTGCCGGGTCTGGGATGGAGGTAGGGTGTAGAAAGGAGCTTGAGGTAAGGCATTGGGGTACAGGAGAGGCTGTGGGATCTGGGAGGGAGTTTGGGTGAAGGACGGGGTTGTGAATGGGCAGAGGATTGGAATACAGGGTTTTGAGTTGTGACCTTGGGCAGGAGGGGGATTGTGACCTGGAACAGGGAATTGTGGTGCACAAGGGGGTGCAGGGACTTGGATTGTGACCTAGGACAGATGGGTGTTGTGACATGAGGCAGGAGATTGGGGTGCAGGGTCTGGGAGGGGGGATTGTGTGCAGGGGGCAGAAGGTTTGGGTTAGGTGGGGTAGGGAGCAGGAGTAGGGAAACAGAGGGTTGGATGAAGGGAGGGGCTGGGGTGCTAGAGGCAGGTGACTTATCTGGGTGACTCCCCACCAGCCCAGCAAGTTTCTCAGGCAGGCTCCCCACCTTCCATGCCCCTACATCAGCTGCGGGGCCATGTGCTTCTGTGAACCTCTGCAAGACCAAGAGCAGGTGGGGAGAGGTACTTTGCATGCTGTCTATTCTTAAAACAGGCAGCTCCTATTGGAAACTGACCAGTGGAAGCTGCAAGATTATATTGCAAGATTATGCTGGGGTGAGGGCAGCATGGAAAACCTCTGCTGCCTTTCCTGGGCTTGCAGTAGTTCAAAGACAAATAGGGCTCCGCAACAAGCTTTTCTGAGTGGTTATGTGGGGGTAGGGCAGACAGGGAGCATTCCTGAGGCTCCTACTGCATTAGTGGACCATATCCAGTGGCTTGGCAGGACAGATTTTGCCCAGTCCTAGTCCTGGAGCATGCATACCCAGAGTTAATTGACACAAGATGTCAATTAGTGTCACTGGAAGTCATGTTCTTCTATCTCCAGGTACCATGGGGTACACACCAAAAAGCTGACCATTAATAAAATTACTGGTTTGTGAGGAAAGAATCTGCATTTAGATTCTACATAATTAACGTCTTAATTATTTTGATTATGGAAAAGTAGGAGGCTAATGCACAGGATTAATGTTGGCCTTTTCTCTACAAACCTTTTTTTAAAGTAAACTAAGAATATTTTAAAAGAAATTAGGAATCCTAAAATGAAGTTCAGCAATATCCTGTTGGAGCCCAAGATACAGAGTACTAGTGTGTAATGATTGAAGTTTCTGAACTTGATTCTTGCCAAACCAGATTCTGTACTGATTAGAATTCACTGATTCATTAAGAAACTATCAAATAATGCTTACAAAAGTGTTTTAGACAGAGAATCTTGAGTTCTGTGTGTTTTCAGGGAAAAAAAGTTGTACATTTCTAAAACTTCATTAAAACCTGAATATGGTAAATCTTCAGATGGTTCTTCAAGTGATTGCTCATGTGCATTCCAGTTTAGGTTTGTGCATGCACAGTTTCTGGGAAGATTTTACCCTAGCAGGATACTGGAGGTCAGCAGAGGAGACCTCCGAGAGTGGTGCCAGTATGGCTGCCAACCGCCCCCTCTTCTATTTCCTTCTTACCGCCCGTGCCTCAGGCAAGTATGCCTTCCCTAGCTTGTATTGTAGATAGTTCTTTCTAGTGTTAAGTAGTTGTTAGGTAAGTGTTATGTTTGTTGTGGGGTGAGGAAGGGCGTGCCTCCGCTCCCTGGCTTCAAGTGGTGCAGACAGTGCAGGGATGGTAATCCCTATGGGTGATCTACGTGACGTCTGTCTTAAGTGCTTGGGAGTGCCCACTTAGCATATAAGTGCAAGATCTGCAGGGCCTTTACTTCAAGAATGCAAAGGGACAGAGTTTCGCCTCCCAAATCTCTTAATGGAGGCTTCCCTGGATGCTCATCCAGCACCACAGGCTGTGGGACGGGATTCAGCGGCCTCAGTGCGCTGTCATCAGTGCAGAGCATGCCAGCTCCACATGAAGTCCTGGCACTAAATGTTCACCGAAGGCAAGTTCATGGCAGGGGAAGGGTTGGGGGGTAGGGGAG